TTTTTTGCTTATGTGGTGCTGAGGAATCGAACCCAGGGCCTCAGGCATGCAAGGCAAGCGCTCTACCACTGAGCCACCTTCCCAGCCCCAACAATTTGTTTCTTAATCCAACAATTCTATGTTTTTAATTGAATGATAAAGGTGTCTTGTTCATGTTTCAGTTGGTGAAATACTTATGAGCCAGATCCTGTGATTTAATTAGGAGCTTAATGCACACCTCTCCAACCTCTGACTACTGGCAGCACATGGGGTTTCCAGGCACTGTAGAATCTTCTGAGGAAGGAGGAGAGGGAGAAACCCATGGAGCTGGCTTAGAAATCTCTACAGAAGCCCGGTGCTGGTGGCCCATACCTGTTATCCTAGCTACTCAGGAAGCTGAGATCTGAGGCTCGCTGGTCAAAGCCAACCCCGGGCAGGAAAAGTACACGAGACTTTTTTTTTTGTCGGTCATGGGGCGTGAACTCTGGGCCTGGGTGCCATTCCTCAGCTTTTTAGCTCAAGGCTAGCGCTCTACCACTTGAGCCACAGCACCACTTCCAGCTTTTTCTGTGGTACTGGGAAATTGAACCCAGAGCCTCATGCATGCGAGGCTGAGCCGCCTTCCCAACCCCCATGAGAATCTTATCTCTAATTAACCACTAGAAAACCAGAAGTGGTGGTATGGCTCAGTGGTAGAGTGTTCACCTTGAGCTGAGGAGCTGAGGGACAGTGCCCAGGCCCAGGCCCAAGCCCCCTGACTGACGAAAGGAAAGGAGGGAGGGAGGGAGGGAGGGAGGGAGGGAGGGAGGGAAAAGAAATCTCCACAGAACAGAAAATGGTCTGGGCAAGACCTGCTGTGCAATTTTAAGATGGTTGACTTGCTTAGTGTTTTCAGGCTTTGAGGCATGATGTGACTGGGCTCTGGGATATAGTTTATGTTGCTGCTTTGGGGTAGTTTCCAGAGAAGAAAACAAAGAAGAAATCTCCGCTCGCATGCGTGTGTGCGCGCGTGTGTGTGTGTGTCTGTGTGTGTGTCTGTGAGAGAGAGGGAGAGGGAGAGAGAGATGAAGAGATGAAGGTTGTTTCCTTATATTCTGCCTCATCCCCCACCTCCTCCACTGCAAACTTTTAAAATTATTCAAAAGGTATAAAATTTGAGCTATATTTAAATTTTTTCTTTTGATATAGGACCAAAGGTTTGAAACTCAAGGTCTCAATACTTGTTAGCAAGGCAGTCTACTATTTGAACCAAGCTCCCAGCTCCTTTTTGTTTTAGCTGTTTTTCAGATAGGGTTTTGCATTTTAGTCAGACCATGATCTTCTTACCATAATTATGGTCATAATAGCGCCACACATGTCTTACTGGTTGAGATGTGGTCTAGCTCAGTTTTGCCTCCTCCTGAACACCAACCTCCCAAGTAGCTAGGATTCAATACCACACCTGGCTCTAAATATATATTTATTAAGCATTTTTATTGGGAATGTGTATGTGTATGTGCATGTATGCGCTGGTGCAGGCTCTTGAACTCAAGGCGTGGGTGCTGTCTCTAGGATTTTTTTATGCAAGGTTAATGCTTTACCAATTAATCTCTGCTTCATTTCTGGCTTTTTGGTGGTTAGAGTACAGATTCTCATGGACTTTTCCTTCCTGGGCTGGCTTTGAATCATGATGGTTAGATCTCAGCCTCCTGACTTGCTAGGAGTATAGGTGTGAGCCATTGGTGCCTAGCTCTTTATTGAGAATTTTAAAATCACATTTATTTTAGACAACCCTGGCCATGAAAAGATTATAGGTAGAGAAGCCTCTTTTAAGGAAATGGCAGTCAGGTTAGGAGAATGTTGCAAATTTGTCTTAGGGATTTCTACCCAAGCTGCTGCAATAAATGGCAGGCCAAGGGGTCTGGCCTCCCTAAAGTACTGTCCTTGACTCAACAGCAAGGCCTAGAAATTTCAGAAACCTCAGAATTTCTCCACCAGACAATTAATAGGATAAAGCCTAATAGGTGAGCAGATTATACTATAGTCTCCCAATAACCTTATCTGGCCCTTGTTAAATAGACCATGTCATTTTGTGCCTTCCCGTGCCTGGTGTTGCTCTATGGCTTGACTAAAGGTATTTGGATGCTCTTCACTGGCAGATAACCACCCAATGCCAAGCAGAAATCCTACAGAGCACTTTTTTACCTTTCTTTGTTTCAGACATCTGCCTCTACCACTCCACACAGTACCTCCTACTCTTTTAGTGCCAGCAAATCTCTGTTTTTGGCATTTAGCATTTTTGGAACAGCTGTGTTGTTTTTGCTTTCTAGCCTCTGACAACTCCTTGCCTTTACTTTCTGTTCCTCACTTCATGCCCAGTGGTTTGACCCCAGGTGTCCTAATTGCATTTATGGATGCCTTTAAGTATAAAGGCTGTGTTGTAGCAGACAGTTTTTACAGGTGTAGAATCAACAGAGGAAAGCTTTCTGTCAAATGATGCTAAATGCCACTGACAAGGAAATTTAGACTCCCAGAACCTCTTTCTTGAGTTATTTTAGTAGATGGTTTCTATTCACTATTAAATCAGTTTCATTTTCTCAGGCTACATATTTCAATGCCTATGCGTCCTTCCTTTAAAGCTCTCATTATTTCTTGATATTTGAATGTTCCTCCAGATTGTATTCTCACTTTTAAATCTTTTCAAACTTGGTGCAGTAATAACAAGAAAGCCTAACATTTATTGAGCACTTACTACTTATTAGGGAGTGTTTTAAGAGGGTTACTTGTATTTCCTTTCTATCTCACAATAATTTTATGTGATAGATGCTGAATCAAACCTCAGAGTGATGTAGCTAGGAAGTAGAGGAGTCAGAAATAAGCCCAGTTGGGCAGGCTATAAGGCTTGGACTCTTTAAGTTGTCTTCTTAGCCTGCTTCCCCTGAGTTTTTTCAAAGACAGTCATCAATAGTGTTTTTTTCCCTAAATCTTAATCTGGAAGACAGAGCTTCCAGAGAACTTTACTAATCTTCAGAGATTTTCTTATTT